CAGTGACCCGCAGGACAATACTTTTCTTAAGGATACTGCACTAATCAAAGGGTCTGCAAAATTCGCATTACACAGCTGTCAGAATAGGAAAAAAAAGGGAGTAATCTCTGCTAACTTTGAGCTCTGACAGTCATGCTTTTGTTAAGTGAGTATGTGTCTCAATATGAAGATTTTAACCATGTGAAAGAAATTTTAAAATTCTATTTTCACTATACTTTGCATCAATCAGGAACTTAGTGTATGTCTATTGTATCTTTATTATATAAGTACCTCTGGAGATCTGAATTAACGGAGTATGTCTGCATAGCTTTAAAATTTTGGTCAGCAACCTGGGCGCTGGCTCTTCGATTTTAATCCCAGCTAGTGAACTTTTGCTCTCTCCAGAGCAAAGGAACCAGCTGAAAATAGGCTTAAGAAGAAAAGCTGCCTTTCCTTTCTTCCCTCTGTGGTTTTAGTGCTGGTTTGGACTACAAGCATGTCTCCATTCAAAATGCTGCTTTCTTCTTCAGCATTACCCTTGACCTAATCCTTTTGCTTTTTGTGCTGCATTGAACTGACTTTACCTGACTTTCCCTGACTTTCCCTGACCCATATCATTGCCTACCAACCCCATTAATTTCCCACTGTGTATAGATCTCTTTCTTGCTACTCCAGATTCCCACCAGGATCTCTGCAGCAGATTTCCACCGCTTTACCAATCATCTGGTTTTCCAGCCTTACCCAGCAGCATCCTCTGTTGCTCCCAAATTTCTCTTCTCCATGACAGTTCTTCCATAGAATGATGAAATCATAGAATGGCTAGGGTTGGAAAGGACCTTAAGATCATCTAGCTCCAATTCCACTGCCATGGGCAGGGACACCTCACACTAAACTATGTCACCCAAGACTCCATCCAACCTGGCCTTGAACACCACCGGGGATGGAGCATTCACAACTTCCTTGAGGAACCCATTCCAGTGCCTCACCAACCTCACAATAAAGAACTTTTTCCTTATATCTAACCTGAACTTCCTCTGTTTAAGTTTGAACCCATTACCCCTTGTCCTATCACTACAGTCCCTAATGAAGAGTCCCTCTCCAGCACCTTTGTAGGCCCCCTTCAGATACTGGAAGGCTGCTATGAGGTCTCCACGCAGCCTTCTCTTCTCCACGCTGAACAGCCCCAACTTTCTCAGCCTGTCTTCATACAAGAGGTGCTCCAGCCCCCTAACCATCCTCATGGCCTTCCTCTGGACTTGTTCCAACAGTTCCATGTGCTTTTTACGTTGAGGACACCAGAATTGTACCCAATACTCTAAGTGAGGTCTCATGAGAGCAGAGCAGAGGGGCAGGATCACCTCCTTCGACCTCTGCTGAAATCTCCCACTGACAGCAGTGGTCCCTTTGTTACCCTTTAATATGACAGTAAAAATTCTTTCCTCCCTGAGATTCCTGAAGGAAGGAATCTCATCAACATTTATTCCATGACCTTTCCCATATGACTGAGGGGTATGTGTAGTCACATCTCTTCCACAGGAAGGCTGACTCCAACATCTGCTTCTAATTGCTAAAAAAAAATATTAGTAACCATGAGGAATGAATTACCATGATCTGGCACACACAATGGCTTAAAATTGGTTAGCCAAGCCAATTTCCCCCACAAAAAAAGTCTAGATAAATAGAAAAAGCAAATCTTCTCAAATGACATGAAAAGCTAGATTTTGCAAATACAAACTTGTTTGTAGTAATTTAAAAGGAGAATCATAAAAGGCAAACGACATTTACATGTACATAAGAATAGTCTGTTATTTTCAAGATAATCAGGATTTAACAATATCAGTGATGTGTAATACGTGTTTGAAAATTTTTCTGCTTTATCAGATAACAGATGAATGTTATTTTGAACATATTTTAAACATCTTTCAAATAGCTATATCATGCTTTGTGCCTTAGAAAGTGAACCATTATGTCAGCAAAATTGTGAAAGTAAAATCACAAAAAGGATATTAGTTCAGTTCTACTTTTCAGATGATATATATAAGGGAATATATAGATATATTCTTAATGAAACCTAGTTTCTTCCCCATAAGATATTGTAAAACTGTTCAGCAACTTTACAGAATTATTTTGTACTTGATATATTACCTTGAAATGATAAGATAAATAATGATTTACAGTCATCTCAAATTACTGACAAATAAGCATTCAAAATGAGTAGCAACACATAGCAAATACATAAGAAGCCCAGACATAAAAATGGTAGTGTAACATCCTTTCCCCATTGCTTTAATCAGTTTTTACTACTGTTACATTAATAATACTTTTTCCAAGGTGATTTTGAGAACAGAGGCCTAGATTTTACATACTTTCTGAAATAGATTTTCCTGTCACTCGTAAGAGTGACAACTCACTGACATGCCCCCCAAGCTCTCATGGTCACTTCTGGGTCAGAATCAACAATTGCACAGTCATACAATGCTATGAACCCTGCTGTTTATGACAGCTCTGAACAATATGCAATGAATTAGTTCCTCATGGAAATTTCAAAGTAGACATAAGCTAAATGTGTTAAATTAGCTTATATGTGACCACAACTTTCCACCACAGTTTCACAGAAAGCTCCTTGGGTCCCATAATGACACAGCTGTTGGGAGTGAGGTTTTATGAATGAATCCCCTGGAATGAAAATACAAAGAAAGGAAAACGTTAATTAAGGAGTATAGAAAATAAAGGGGACTGGTGTGCTTATGTGTATGTTCTTTTCTTCAGAGCCCTCTACAGAATAAATCACATCAACAGATTCCTTTACATCTGTTTGCACATACAATTCACCCATGTTCATACATATGAATTTGTCCTAGAATTTCTTTAAAAAAAAAACACAACAAACCACAGACAATCCCTTCTTTATTGTTGGTGATAAAGAAAAAAAAAACAAACATGTGTTTAGATGTATTAGATAGTATATATATACATAGGTATGTAATAGATAAAGTAATAAAAACTAGGTTGGACTTGTGTAAGGATGATCAAGTAATTAAGAAAATATCATTAAGAGAAAATCATACTTTGAGCAGTAAAGCAGAGGAATTAATGACAAACTGAAGGTTACACAGTCAGCATTCACTGTAGCAAACAGGAACACTAAATGCCTCGTAATTCCCAGGATTGCTATGCAATGACATATTCAAGACTTTCAGCTCAGGAAAAACGCATGTGTGCCTAGGAGAAAATTATGTATTGAAAGGAAACCCTTTCTTCCTTTATTTTGTAGTTAAAATTTAACTCCTGACATTTCTTTTTACTGTATGTCTCAAGTTTTGTGGTAGAATAGATGGTGCATAGTCATTTCTGATTTCTGCAGAAGCTTTATTAATGTACAGATTATGTAAACTGGGACAGAAACTTGCAACCTTATCTTGGCAAAGACAGCATTTGGTTGTGATATACAATGTGCTTACCTTGGAAAGCACTGACTCTGCACTTAGTGTCAAGTATCTGAAAACTCTTTTGAGTCTCAGACTGCTTTTCCCTTGTTTTTTTCTGCCTTGCCATTTACGTGCATCAAGACATACGATATCCCATGGAGTTTCACACACTGAATTAATACTGCCTTGGACAGTGCTAGTTGAGTGAATTTCAAATAAAGATGTACTGTAAGAAGCAAGAAAGCGCAGTTACTGAGATGCATGCATGTGAGTAATTTCATACACACAAATCCCTCAAATGACCTCCAACCCCTTTCCACAACCTGGACTCCGATGTTCTGTGTTAAGCTCAAATTTCACTGTGTGAAGCCACAAACAAAACAAGTCAGTTCCAGCGGGATTTGTGCATCTGTTTTTTCTGACAGAAAGCTCTGTTTGCAGAATGAGAGCCTTAAAACTCCACATGGGTCCACAGTTCCTGTAAATAATATTCCAAATCATAGTCACTCACTGATATCACATGGGGAATACTTTCTAACTCGTTCTGTGCATTGTACAGCTCACCGAGTATTCCATTTTCACATTTTTGTTCAGACAGCTAGTGAGAGAATGAATTTTCTTTCTCACTTGTAAGACTTGATAAAGCAGAAGAGACATATCCAAAATGCATTTATAAATGAAAGAGTTTTCAAATGCCTTTTTGTGAAAGAACCTTAAAAGGAAGTTTAAGATATTTGGTAAATTACAGGCACAGAGTCCTCTACTTCGTAGAAATTTCTCTATTGCTTATGTCTTACGTGAAACAGTTCTTGATACCAGCTCCTTTGTCAGAGCTTATTTTTTAGTATTAAGGTCTTACCGTTCCTCATTCTACTGTCCTGACTGCAGAAACAGAACCGTGCCCGCTTCTAGCCTCGCTAAACTCAGTGTAAGGAGTAAACGTACAACAGGCTGTCTGCAGCCCTCGTCGGGTTACTCGTTCTCAGCAGAGATGCTGGGGAAGGAGTGGAGATGCAGGCTCCCCGTGATGAGCCCTGCCGACAAGCTCCCCTTCCTCACGTTGAATAAACGTCAGTAGCGGGTTCAAAGCAACGTGTTTCTGGCATTTCAGTTGGATTTCGCCTCTTGCTTGTGCTTTAACACACAAACACAGCCACCGACTCCCGCCACCGGGCTCAACCCAGAGCTGCCTCTTTCCAAGATTTTCACTCAAAAGCATCAAAACCCCCACAAACTACCGGGAAAACAACCGCAAAGCCCCCAAATCCCGCAGCGGCCAAGCTCATCGCATCTGACCCCTCATCATCTTCATCCCCATGGTGCCCCGAGCTTCCCCCCCGCGGCGGGCGAGCGGGAGCTGGCAGAAGGAGGGCGCGGGGCTCTGCAGCGGCGACTTTGCTCTTTAAATCGCTCTCCAAAGCGGATTACGCCTGATCCCTCCGCGTCACACCGGAGTTTGCTCGGGAAACGGGGGGGGAGGGGGGGAGGGGGGGGGGGAGGGGGGGGGGAGGGGGGGAGGGGAAGGGAAGGGGGAGTGAGTACCTCCCTCCTCCCGCGGGGCTCCGGGGAGGCGGGGGGAGGCGGGGACGAAGAGCGGGGACGAGGTTTAACGGCGGCCGCCTCCGAGGCGGGAGGAGATCTGAGAGGGCGGTGGTGGGGCGAGGGGAGCCCGCGGAGCGCGCCAGCGGCGCAGCCGGTATAGCGGAGGGTGCCCGGGGCGGCAGCAAACTGCAGGGCAAGATGCAGAAGAGCGTGCGGTACAACGAGGGGCATGCCCTGTACCTGGCGCTGCTGGCCCGAAAGGAGGGCACCAAGAGGGGCTACCTGAGCAAGAAGACGGCGGAGACCAACCGCTGGCACGAGAAGTGGTTCGCCCTCTACCAAAACGTGCTCTTCTACTTCGAAGGAGAGCAGAGCGCCCGGCCCGCCGGCATGTACATGCTGGAGGGTTGCAACTGCGAGCGGGTGCCGGCTCCCAAGGGATGCGTCGCCGTCAGCGCCAAGGATGCTGCGTTGGATAAGCAGGTACCGCTCCTCACGGCTGCGGGGCGGGAGGGATGGAGAGAGGCGGCCCCGGGGCAGCGATCCCGCGGTGCTGGCGGCTGAGTGGAGCCACGGCCGTCGGGGCGGTCGGGCTCCCCATAACCCTTTCCCTCGGCAACCTTGAATCCATCTCGAAGAATGGTGGTGGGTGCTCTATAGAGCTCAGGCAGGGAGGTCTGTGCCACTCCCGAAAGAGCATCAATTGCTCAGAAAGTGGCAAGGGCAGTGGTTTTCCCACCCCGTCTAATGATTCTTCCTTCTCACCGGACTTTTTAGTTGCCACTGCCTGCCCACCTTGTTTCAGTAGGGTGCCCCAAGAGTAGCATCTGGCAAACAGGGTGTTTTATCATCTTGATAATGACACTTCTGCAATACAGCTACACAATTCCAACCAAACTCAATAAACAGAGTGTGTGAGGGCACAAAGTACCAAAACAGCATATGGGGGACTTCAAGCAGCCACCGAGCCCATTCTGCTGTGGGGTTGCTGCTCATCCCAGTGATGCTGTGGGGGGTAATGAGATCTCAGCTCTCCCTTGGGAACCCCTCCAAGGGCCAGGCTGCTGGCAGGGAGTCAAGGTGTGAGTGTGTGCTCTGGTTTAAGCGTGTGCCTTTCAGGTTCTTCTCCAGACAGGTGTTGTGAAGTTGATGGTGCTTGCAATAGGAATGGTGTCGCAATGCTGGAGGCAGGAGGCAGATCCTTCATGGTTTTGGGTGGGTGAGGAATGCTGAAGGCTCTGGTGGGATTCATTCACTTGAGGGGTGGCAATTAATAGTTCATGAACTGTCAAATTACCTCCCGCCCAAAAGCTGATCAGTTTGACATACACATGTCAAACCAGCAAGGGGTTAAATACTATCTGTGTATTGCATAACAGTGTAGCAGAGGACGCTGTAGTTGTTCATCGTAGATAGAGATTGGGTATCCTAACCACACACCTCCTATTTACACCATGTAAATTCTTGATCTCACTTGCTGCCTGGTTGAATTTGTTTGAATCTTGCATGCCCTAGCGTCTCTCTTCCTGAACAGGAGAAACTGAACAGGTGTCAAACTGGTTTGGAAAAGTTTGGGTAATTCTAAGGAGAGTGGTTTTGAACTGGCTGCAGGCATTTCCTGCTGATTATGAGGAAGAGACAAAGACTTAAGTCAGCCTCTGAAAACTGCTGTTTGCTCTGTTAGAGTGATAATTTTGCAAGGAGAACTCAGAACCTGATCTCATGTTTGTGCTTTTTTGCCCTTTTGCAACAAATGTTTGTGTGCTTAAGCAGTCTTTGAGATGGTGCATAGTTCGGCAAGTGAACTTTGGGATGATTGTAGTTATGTCATATTCATCCATGACATTCTTGCTTGTTGCTTTGAAGCATATTTGTATAAGCAATGATAAATGAAACATTGGAGGATTCCCTAGATGAAAATAAACATTAATATTTCCTTGTCTGCTTTACATTGGCTTAGTGCACTTGTTTATTGGTAGTGTTGTTAAACTACGGCTTGACTAAGAGAAATGTGTGAAAACAATGCCTTTACATATCTGTTCTCTGGGAATCTTAAATAGTGCTTTTATAGTGATGAACCTTTGAGTTGTTTGTAATTACGTTTAGTAGTGAAGAGACAAAATAATTGGAGGGTTTGAAACTGAATTTTGCTTTGCTTCAAACATCAGCTATGTTGATGTTCTTAACAATAGCAGTCTGCTGTCGAAGAGACAGAAGAACACTTAAAATTTTTTTTCAGGGGATACTATTTTGAATTTTGGAGGCAGGCCATCAGAAAATATCATTTTCCTGTTCACCTTTTTCTTGATGCAGAATAAAGCTTTTGAGTGTCAGTAGTTTCTACAGATGTTTGTTCATTAAAGTGCACCCTTATTTCTATATTCATTTAGGCACAAACCTTAGCTAAGGTGTACAGGAACCTCCCTCAACAACTAAAATTGATCAACCACAAGAAAAATGATAAATATTTGAAAATTAAACATTTAGAGAATGTGCTCATATTCCTACAAGTGTAAAGGAATAAATTGTGAGCCTTCAGTTTTTTAGCAGAGGAAGACAAAGTCATTTTAATCAGATAATAATGAAAACTCAGTGTTGTATGTGATAACTACTGGCAGTGTAAAAATGCTGCCTAGATTTAATTTGCTTTGATTTAATCACACAGATGTGTTAATGTCATGAAAAGTATTATCTTTATGCCAGTTTTTGAAGAATCAGATCTCTCTCCTCCAAAAGAAAGAGATGAAAAATAAAAATAAACTCTTTTACTTTGGGTTTTATTTACCTAGGCAATTTAGACATTAGAGTGATATGTGTTATAGAATTATGCAGATTATGGAAAGAGAGAAAGAGAAATTAATCACATAAGAGGACTTCATCAGCATCCTTTGAGTGGAGTAAGCAATACATTTTCTTTAAGTTACGTAACTGAAGATTATGGAGAATTCATGCAGAACAAATAGGTGTTGTTTTCCTTTGTTTGCGGATCTTTTAATCTTCCAGTTGTTTGCTTGTCAAGAACTGTGCTGAGAAGTTGTTAAGAGTACAGTGCAGAGAGCAATGGAGCTGTACTAGTTGTACTTCCCTACACAGGAGACCGTATTTCACTCAACACGTGTTTAGGTTTGGGTATCTGTCTCCCAACAAGCTGAATGATTTCACATTCAATCACTGCTGGTGCTCTTACGACCTTCCAGCAGTCTCTTATGAGGGGACATTAAGTATTACAAGAACTGTACCACTGTGCTGTGGAAGATGCCAAATGCCATCATAAGATTTGCTGTAATTATTAAGAGCTTGGAAAAAAAAATTGCAATGACAGAACACACTTTTTCTATCTTTTCCATTAAGATATTAGTATATTTCTTTTCCTTCAGAAGGATACTTGCTTCAAAGCAAATTCATTTAAAGGTGCAGTATCTTTCTTGGTATTAACAAACTGCGTAATGCATGAATCAATTGATAGTCTGGGAATACGGGATCAAGTCAAGTATGTTGCACATAGTATTATTTTTTTTTTTTAAAGTATTTTGGTCTTGCTCATATTTTAAAAGAGTTTTGTAAATGCCGAACAGGTGTTGCTATCTACTCTGATTTCACATTCTTGAAAAAAAAGACAGAATTTATTGAAACAGAAACAATGTGGAAGAAGCTGAGTTTCAAAACAGCTTCTGTTTAGGAGATGAATTAGAAGATTAAAATACTACATGTGGAAAGCTTAAATTCTGGCATCAGTTAAACAGCTTCTTCCTGCAGGAGCTGTAGGCTGCAAACAAGTGCAGCTCCCAACAAGTTCTCTACTGTGACAATGACAGACTCCATGAAAACGAATTTCATTTTTCTTTCAAAAATCCTGGAAAGAGATTGCTTTATCTCAGTGAGTGTCTAGTCTCCCTCAGAAGCAGACTGAAATGCCTAAAACGATTCTTTCTGCAGTGTTTCATAGCAGACTGGCACTTGCTCACAGTTTTTCTTAAGAGTATTGGAAGCAAGAGTGTAGAGGAATGTAAATATTATTATTGTCTGATTTGGGAGGAGGCCTGTGTGTTTAGTTTCTTTATAACTGTGGACTGAATACATGGAAATGTTCTGATACAATTATTAATGACTGTCTTAGTGTATTTAAGCTTGTAAATGTTATATGATTTGAGCAGAGACTATTCTTTGTATCTTGCCTGCAATAATCTTCCTCCCACTTAACAAAATTAAATGCAGTATTAAGTCCTTGTCCCCACAGATTAACAGAATCCAATTATTTTATCTTTTTCTGCTTACTGTAGCTCTGAATTTATTTTATGAAGGACATGGTGATTTTGTGGTGTTTGAAACCTCTCTATTCCTTGAAGTGATAAGGCAGGCATATGCCACCAACAGCTTTTGCTGCACCTCAATGCTAATTTAGTGTATATAAAACCTAGCAACAGTGCTTAAAGGTTGTTTTTTTTTTTTTTTTCCCCTGAAGATACAATGAACTAAAAGTTAATCTTTTTGCTTTTATTTGGAGAACCCCACTCCACATTGTTCAGCATCTGTTACGTGTGTTACATGTATTATATCTGTTATATGTGGTAGGTGACTCAAGAGTGGTGTTACCTTTTTGGCAAGAAAATTCGCCACCTTTTGTCCATAATTGTCCACCTTTTGCTTACATGTGAGCAAGTAACAACCTGGGATGTTCCAGTGCAAAGATCCAACAGAGAAGCCCATGTTTTAGAAATCTCCTGCAGCATTTAAAAAATAATGGATGAATTTGTCTTCTCAGTATATAAGAAGAAAAAAGGTTGGCTTTTTTTTCTTAATTTTTGGGTTTTTTTGTGTGTGTGGTTTTTTTTTTTTTTTTACTTCAACAGAAGGAGTTAATTAAAAAAGATGGCTAGTGAGAAGATATTAGTGCTATTTGGATTAGTATTTTTTGGCAAGACCTTCTCATGAAAGAGTCTTGCATGAAGACATCTTTGGGGTAACTAGCTCTTGTTTTCTTTCTCAGGTAACCCCTGCCCTGCCACTGTTGTTTAATCACTGTCATGAGGTAATGTGGGCGCATTCAACAAATAAATGGGTTCAGACTGTTTTGGTATGCATTTAAGAAGAAAAACAAGTCACTGACTTTGTGCTTAAGGCAAGCTGCATTGAAGTGCCTGCCTCTAGCTCTTCGTGCAGACCTCTAAAGTGAATTTACAGTGTGCTTTCTGTCCTAAGGCAAAAAGCAGTAAATAAATAGAAAAGTATAACCCCTGTGGTCTCTCCAGGGACTGAACTTTGCCATTTAATGGATGTTTGTGCTTACCTGCTTGCTTAGTAATGAGCACATTGTGGGAATAAGAACAGAAAATTTCATGACCATCTTTATTGCTCTTTTGCCCAAATGTAAGCATTTCATTCTACCTCTTGAAAATGTATGTTTCTGCTGTAGTGTTCCGAAATGGGCTGTTTGTAACTATGCAGAAATGAGGAATATACCCAGCTGAGAAGTGAGTTACAGG